CTGCCTCAGGGGCGGCAAGAAATACACGTTGCAAGTAAGACAGATATGTTCCCAAGGGGGTACGATCGAATACGAAGAGGGCGGGTAGCGAGGGCTGAAAATCTACGTGTTGAATTGGACGCTTGCGGATAGATGCAAACAGTCTTAATATGATCGATGCTGTTTTTGTTGTTTCACTTCTAAAACATAGTTCTTGTTGGTTCCCCCCTTCCGGTAACCGTTGAATTTTACAATTAAAGTGCTTCTCCCTCTCGCACCTGGTTTTTCTCCAAGGAAAGTGAGGTGCCACCAGATTGGTCCCCTGGCCCCCGATACTTCCTCACAATCTATCCCAAAATTTCGCTTTCGCGCTGGAGTTCATTGCAATGTATACAGGAATCGCGCTCTCGCGTGGGACGTCCTAACATTTTTTATTCAGGCGACGCGCCTTCGACATTCAGGAGTCACGCTCTCGTTGTGGCCTTTTTCAATATGTATTTGGGTATCACGCTATCGCTCGAGATGTCCTCGCGATTTATGCAGGGCGCACGCTTCAGCAACCCGCCTGCTCGACCTTGCCGCCTGGGCCCGCCTTCCCGACCAGCCCGTTCGCGTCTACCCGCCCGATATGCCCGTCCGGTTTTGCCACGTGTTTTCTGCTAGTCCCCATCGTGCTTGCTACTCTCTCGTGCTCCATCCTACACCGTCCCCCATGTCCCTTCCTTCCATCCGTCCTCTCTTCCCCTGCCTTAGAGTCTGCGCGAAATACATGTTGCAGGTAAGAACGATACATACACCAAGTGGGTACGGTCGAAGACGAAGAGGGCGGGTATCGATGGTTTGGGACATAGTGTTAAGTGGCATGCGAGCAGATCAGAGCGAACAGGGTTAGAACGTTTGTTGTTGTGGTTGTTGATGGTGGTGGTGGTGTTGTTGTTGGTGTTGAACTCTCACTTCTGAAGGAAAATTCTTGTTGACCCCCCACCTTCCAGCGCACATTGTATCTTTCTAATTGCAATGCACCTCCCGGGCTCGCACTCGGTTTTTTATCGGGGACATCTTCGAGGTTCAAAATGGCCCCCGTCCCCTCGAGTCATAACAACAACGGCTCCCGCATGATACTTCCTCACAAATTATTTCAAACTTGCGCTCTAGCGCGGGATTTCCGTACAAAGTATGCATGGATCGCGCTCTCGCATGGGACGCCCTGACAATTTATTCAGACTCCGCGCCTTTGACTCATTCATTCGGGTATCACGCCATCTCTCGAGACCTCCTCGCGACTCCAGCTCGACGCACGCTTCAGCAACCCGCCTGCTCCACCTTGCCGCGTGGGCCCGCCTTCCCGACGGGCCCGTTAGGGTCTACCCGCCCGATCTGCCCGTCTCGTTCTGTCACGTGTTTTCTTCTCCTAGCCCCCCTCCTGCTAAGCTCTTGCGTGCTAGTTTCCCTGCTCCTGGCCTTCCATCCTTCTCGTTCCTCCCTGTCCCTTCCGTCCATCCGCCCTCTCCTCGCCTGCCTTAGGGGCTGCACGAAGTTCACGTTGCAGGTAAGAAAGGTGCACCTCCAAGTGGGTACGGTCGAACACGAAGAGGGCGGGTATCGAGGGTTTCGGATCTAACACGTGTTGAATGGTACGCGAGCGGATAAGAGCGAGCAGTCTTGAAATCATAATTGTTGTTTGTTGTTGTTGAGCTCTCGTCGTCGTCGTCGTTGTTGTTTGTTGTTGTTGTGTTGTTATTGTGGTTGTTATTGTGGTTGTTGTTGTGGTTGTTGTTGTGGTTGTGATTGTGGATGTTGTTGTGGCTGTTGTTGTTGAACATTATTACTTCTAAAGAATAATTATTGTTGGGACCCCTGGTGCACGACCCCCCTCCAAAACCTAGGCCGCAGCTACATTTTCATCATTTTTTCGCGAAAGCTTCAGAAAAGTGGATTGGTACCGGATCCGGTTGTTTTGTTGTAATCCGTTTTCCCTTGCAAAAAACACTATAAAATGAAAATTCTTGTTCTTACTTGATCAAATTGCAAGAATCCCTTGCAAAAAATAAGGTAAAGTGGACATTCGTGCGCGCAAGACGAAATCCTTCCAAAACCTTAGGTTTCGTAACGATTTTAACATAAAAACATCAAAAACCCAATGGTTTTCTCAGAAAAAATTGTCAAAATGTCCTTCCGCGCGCTCTTGCGGATTCCTAGGAAACCCACCAGATTTTAAACATTTCTGTTAAAAGGGCCTTTGCGAGGAACCTTTTCAGGTGCTTCGACCTTCTGCAACAACGGTTGCGAGCCTACGAGGGCCACCATCCCTTGCAAAAAATGACACGAAGTGCACATGCGCGCGGCCGCCGCGCGCGCGTGCCGAAATCCTGCCAAACATAATGTGTCATACGCAACAAATGCACCATGCGGGGCACATGCGGGGCCCAAACAAGTGATCAACCTCTGCGGGTGTGTACTCCACGCCAGTGTAGTATCCACGATCGTCCGCGCGCCACGAAGTGAAGTGTCCTGACGTCATAGGGCGGGAAGCTGGGTGTGGGTGGTTCCCGAGAGTCGTGTGGATGTTTGGTAGAGCTTGCATTGCCCCCCCACGAAGTGGGGGTATTGGCTGGCGTCGCATGAAAACCCTGGCACTGGGGAGAACACTGAGCGTTCGGGTAAAATGATTGTTGTTGTTGTTGTTGCTGTTGTTGTTGTCGGCGTCAGACTGTCGGGCCGCCCGCGGCGATCCAGCGAAGCGCGCCAGCGACGCGCGCCAGCGACACTGCTGTGTGCCGGCGCGCGCGCGAGGTCGACATGGAGCCGTCCCAGCCCTGGCCCGTGTGCGGGGCTCAGCCAGCGGCGGGCCGCGTGCTGCCGACTGCCTGCACGGCTCCTCTCTGCCGCCAGCGCCTGCCTGCCGGGCTCGTCCCCCGCGTTCTCTGCCTGGGCGATGACGGTGACGATGGCGATGAGAATGGCGATGAGGATGATGATGATTATGATGATGATGCTGATGATGATGATGATGATGATGTTGATGGTAATGATGATGATGGTGATATTGATGTTGATGATGATGATGATGATGATGATGATGATGATGATTAGGATGATCATGACGGTGACGATGGCGATGAGGATGGCGATGATGATGATGAGGATGTGGTGGTGATTCTGATGATGATGATGATGATGATAATGGTGATGATGCTGCTGCTGATGATGATTGTGGTGGTGATGATGTTGTTCACGAGGATGATGTTGTTCATGATGATGATGATGATGATGATGACGGTTATGATAACGAACATGATGTATGCTGCTGATGATGACAATTCTGATGCTGATGATGATGATGGTGATGATGATGATGATGATGATGATGATGGTCTTGGTGGTTGTGATGATGATTATGCTAATTATGAGGAGGATGACGACGATGCTGCTGATGACGATGGTGATGACGATGACGATGATGACTACGCCGACGACGACGGTGGTGATGCTGGTGTTGTTGTTGTTGTTGTTGATGATGATGATGATGATGATGATGAGTGTTGTGAAGCATGATGATTGGGAGGAGGACGGCGACGATGATGTTGCTGCTGGTAATGCTGATTTTGATGATGACGACGCTTGCGATGATGATGCTGATGATGACGATGATGGTGATGATGTTGTAAACGATGATGCTGCTGTTGATGATGCTGATGTCGATGGCGATGACAATGACGGTGATGATGATGTTGAGATGCTGATGGTGCTGCTGATAATGATGCCTTCAATGAATGACGACGATGACGATGCTGATGATGATTCTGATGATGCTGATGATGCTGATGATGATTCTGACGATGATGATGCTGATTATGATGATGATGCTGGCGATGATGATGATGCTGATTATGATGATGATAGTGATGGTGATGATGATACTGATGATGTTGATGATGCTGCTGATGAGGATGCTGATGATGATGATACGGATGATTAGTTTCTTATTCTTCTTGTCATTCGTATTACTATTACGATGCTGTCCATGATGATGATGATGATGCTGCTGCTGATGATGATAGCGATGCTGATGCTGATGCTGCTGATGATGATGATGATGATGATGATGATGATGATGTTGATGCTGACGATGATGCTGATGATGATGATGATGATGGTTATGCTGACGATGATGGTTGTGGTGGTGGTGGTGACGATGCTGCTGTTGGCTACGACGATGCTGATGGTGATGGTGAGGGGGATTGGAGGACGAGGAGGATGGTGTTGGTGGCGGTTGTGCTGATCATGATTGTTGCGATTGTGGTAGTGATGATCAGGCGAATTAGGGATGACGATGGTTGAGGGTGCTGGAGGACCAAGGGAGGACTGTCACGGGAGGAGGAGGGGGAGCGGGATCATGTTGATGATGAGGTTGAGGAGGAAGAGCGATGAGGATGATGATGTTGATGATGATGATGATGATGAGGAGGAGGAGGAGGAGGAGGCGGATAATCCAAAGGCAGCAACCTGTGTAATGTACGCGGTCAGCTTCAGCCATCCTGCGTCTCAGTGCGGTAGATCGTCCACGCGTGATCGCAGAGGGCGTACAGGTGCACATGTTTTGGCTTGCTCAGGAGAAGGATGCGGATTAGGATGATGAGCAGGATGAGGACGTGGACGAGGATGAGGACGAGGAGGATAAGGATGAGGATATTGACGAGGAGGACGAGAAGGAGGACGGTGATGATCAGGAGGACGACGATGAGGGGGACGAGGACGAGGAGGATGAGGAGGAGGACGTTCAGGAGGAGGAGGAGGAGGAGAGGGAGCAGGAGGATGAGGAATCTGATGAGGAGGAGGAGGACGAGGAGGTCGGGGAAGAGGAGGACGAGTAGAAGGTGGTTGAGGCAGCAGGGAGGGGTGGGGGTGGGGGGATGGGGATCGACCTGGTTTGCGCGGCGACGGGACCGTTAAGGTACCCAGGGGCTCCCCTGAACTTCACTTACTCCACCTACTGGTACAATACGAACAAGCCTTTCAAGGACCAGCGACGACAGCGCCGCGGGAGTGCCTCCTCCCTCCTCCTCGGTCATTCGTCCTCCGTCCTCGTCTCGCTTCCACTTCTTTTTCTTTCCTGCTGCTGCTCCTTCTCACCCTTCACCTCCCCTCGTCCTCCCTCTCCTCTTCCCTCCCCTCCTCCCTCTTCTCCTCTCCCCCTGTCCGCAGCCTCGCCCCTCCTCCGTTTCCTCCACCCACTATCCCTGCTCGTAGCTCCTCCCTGTCGCACCCCCCGGCGCGAGAAGGCGAGCTGGGCGTTTCGACTGAGACTTCCTCGCCACCCTTGAAGCTTGACCAATGCACCAGTTTCAGGGATGGAGGGCGGATGCTTGAACGTATGTGGTTCTCGCCTTAGCGCCGCACACATTCGTCTTGACACGTGCAGCAGTTTCAGGGATGGAGGGCGGATGCTTGAACGTATGTGGTTCTCGCCTTCGCGCCGCACACATTCGTCTTGACGCGTGCAGCAGTTTCAGGGATGGAGGGCTGGTGGGTTTTCGAATTCTCGCCGCAGGGCCGCGCACAAAGGAGGGTGGTTTCTTTTCAACAAGTGGCTCTCGCCTTGGCGCCGCGCGCATAGTTGCATCCGTTTGTTAGGCGGCGGGGGGTGGTTGTGAAACGGTCGCTCTCGCCTCAGGACTGCGCGCATTTTTTTTGGTTGGTTTGTATTCTTCTGCTTCTTCTTTTTCTTGTTTTTCTATGTATCTATAGGTACAAACCTATGCAGAGCTTTCAGGGATGGAGGGCGGGTGTTCTCTGTTGTGAACAACACATGTGGCTCTTGCTTTCGCGCCGCGTGCATTCGTTTTACATGCCTGCAGAACTTCACGGACGGACGGGGGGCGTTGTTAAAAGGTGTGTGTGCTCGCATCAGCGCCGCGCACACTCCTCTGAAGTCTTCTGCAGCAGTTTCATGGGCGGAGGGCAGATGGAGGGCAGATGGTCTTCAAAAGATGGCTCTCGCCGCGGCGCCGCGCACAGTCGTCTTCGAACATGTACACCAGCCGTAGGGCCACGCACATCCGCTTTGAGGGTGGTTTTCAACATGTAGCTCTCGCCGTCGCGCCGCGCACAGTCGTCTTAATTCTGTACACTAGCTTCAGGGAGGGATCAACATGTGGCTGTCGCCTTATGGCCGCAAACACTCGTCTTGAGACTTTCCATCTTCTGCAGGGATGGAAGGGGGGCGTGTTCAAAACGAGGCTTTTGTTTTGGCGACGCGCACATCCGTCTGACGAGCTTGCAACCGTGTTTGAGGTACGACCATGGAAATCGTTGCCATCAAATTTGTGCTGTCGCATCAGCTCCGCGCGCATTCGCGTTTAGGGCTCTGGTCGTAGCGCCGCGATCATTCGCTTCAAGATCTCGTCGCAGTTTCGATTATGCAGCACTGGTTGTTTCAAGGGTGGGCGTTCCCCCGAGCACCGCCCGCAGTCCCAGGATGGAGTTCTCGCTCGAGGAGGAAGAGGAAGAAGAGGAGGAGGAGGAGGAGGAGGAGGAGGAGGAGGAGGAGGGAAGGAGGGAGGGAGGACGTCCAAGTCCAGCATCCCCAACCGAACCCTGAAGGAACGGGAGGGGGCCGAGTCGAGGAGCAAAGTGGGACGGCCGCCCCCGACCGAGGCCCCGGGGAGCTCGGACGTCGAGGTGCGGCCTCATCGTCGCTGGCGCAGGCAGCCAGCGCGGGAACACGACGGACCGATGGCCAGGGACACGTCGATCAAGCGGCCTGCAGGCCGCGGGACGCCTCGAGGACCACGCGGGCTGCCTGGGCCACCTCGAGCACGCTGCGCCTCCACCGCGTACAGGAGGGGCTCGAGCTCTGCAGTGGGCGAGAGGCCGAGCCGCGCCGCCACAGTGGGCGGCGCGGCCCGACAGTGGGCGGCCGCGCCGGCAGTGGGCCGCAGTGGGCGCCCACCTTCTCGACAGCTGGCGCAGTCGCAGCAGCATCGGGTTGGTTCGATGCTCGTTTTGGGGACCTTGCTGGGGCCCACCTAATGGATCTGTTTGCCTCCAGTTCGACTCCAGTTCGACTCAAGTTCGACTCAGGTTCGACTCAGGTTCGACTCAGGTTCGACTCAGGTTCGACTCAGGTTCGACTCAGGTTCGACTCAGGTTCGACGGACGTTCGACGCAGCTTCGACGCACGAGTGGAGCGAGTGGCTCCGGGAAGGTCCCCAGAACGAGCAGCCAAGGCTGGGCAGGAGCGGGGGCAGGCCGCGCGCGGCGACGACGCCGCCGCCTCGGCCTTGGGCCGTCCCCGCCATCCGCCGCCATCTCGGTGTCCACGACCTCCTCGCCGCCAGCCGGTGGGGCCCCCTCGGCCGCCGCGCCCGCCGCCCCGCCGCGCCCGCGCCGCCGCCGCCGAGGGCGGCCCGCGCGGGGGATGTGGCTGCCGGCGCGTCCGCCTCCTTCGGCGCGGGCCGCTCCGCCGCGGGGCCGATCAGATCGGCCACGGCGGCGCGGAGCAGCCCCTCCGCCGCGCGCAGCAGGCGGGTCCCCGACGGGGACCGCCCAGCCGCGAGGCCAGAGGCGGCGTGGGCCGCGAGGAGAGCTCCGCGCGCGGCCTCGACGGCGCCGCGGAGCTCTGCACTCGGCTGCGTGCCTGGCATCGGCGAGGCGGCGACGACCCGAGGGTGCCTGCGACACAACGCCTGAGCGAAATGGGTACTCCAGATTTCGTAATAAAGGGAGGGGGGTCTCATTTCGGGGGGAGGTCTCTTCCAGGCTATCTTGGAGGGCCTGGGGGGTCTGGGGACGACGTTTTGGAGGGTTCTCCCACGGGGGAGGTCTGAAATGGCTTGTCTTGGAGGGTCCAGACCCCCTCCCTTATATTACGAAGTCTGGAGTACTGAGGGAGGGAAGGAGGGAAGGAGGGAGGGAGGGAGGGAGGGAGAGGAGGGGAAGGAAGGGGAGGGGAGGGGAGGGGAGGGAGGGAGGGAGGGGATGGAGGGGAGGGAGGAGGGAGGGAGGGAGGGGAGGCGGGAGGGAGGGAGGGGAGGGAAGGGAGGGAGGGATGGAGTGGAGGAGTGGGAGTGAGGAGGAGTGAGGAGGAGGAGGAGGAGGAGGAGGAGGAGAGGAGGAGGATGAGGAGGAGGAGGAGGAGGAGGAGGAGGAGGAGGAGGAGGAGGAGGAGGAGGAGGAGGAGGAGGAGGAGGAGGAGGAGGAGGAGGAGGAAAAGGAGGAGGAGGCGGAGGAGGAGATGGAGTTCTCACCCGAGATCTCGATCCACCTCAACACCCAGATCTTCGGCGCACTCTGCGCTGCACGGCGGCAGGGCGGCTCTTTTGCCGCGCGGAGCCGTCTCTCGGGACCTCCCCCTCGAAGCTCATACGGCGACAGGTGTAGTTTTTGTGCAGCAGTTGTACGGATGGGAGGGCGGTCCTTCTTCGAACTGGGATCTCGCGGGGCACCTCGCCGAGCCGTGTGGTCGTCGTTTTTCGCCTTCTTCCGACTGTCGCGCCGGGCAGATGCAAGGCAGCGCCTTTCCAAGCGGGGCCCTCGCCGACATGGCAGGCCCACCAGTGCTGGTGGCGCTTCTGGTGAGGAGGAAAACTCGCAGGGGCATGCGAGGAGGGGACTTGGGACGGGAGGGTGCATTGCAGCGCTGCTGATGTACCTTGGGTTTACACTGGTGCTGTCCCCCTCCTCCTCCTCCTCCTCCTCCTCCTCCTCTTCCTCCTCCTCCTCCTCCTCCTCCTCCTCCTCCTCCCCCACCATCCCTCTGCAGAGGCAGGGGCCACCAGGAGATGGAGCCTCCCCCCCGGGGCGGCGCCCAAAGGCTGGGATGCAACTCCTGGGATGTTGAATTCTTTCAATGCTCGTTTTGGGCACCTTCCTGTGGACACCTAACGGATCTGTTCGACCAAAGTTCGACTCAAGTTCTACCCAAGTATGATTCAATTTCGACTCAGGTTTGACTCAGGTTCGACTCAAGGTCGGCTCAAATCCACGGACGTTAGACGCAGCTTCGACGCACGAGTGGAGCGAGTGTCTCCAGGAAGTCCCCAGAGTGCGCATCCAATCCTGGGAGTTTGAACTCTGTATCAGTACTGGTAGTTTCGCGGTTGAGTCCGACTTAATCCCAGGCTTAATTTGTGGTGATCCCGCCCAGTCTGGTTTCATCCGGCTTCATCCCGGGCTCCATCCTGGGTTTCACCTGGGCGAATCTTTTTTCATCCCGCTTCATCTGGCTCAATCTCGGGCTGAATCGGCTTCATTTGGGCTGATCCCGCCTAATCTGGCTTCATCCTTCTTGATCCGGCTCCGGGCTCCGTCTGGCCCCATCCGGTGAGGTGGCCCTCTAGTCGGTCTCAATCGCCCTGCTTCCTATGGCCTCATCCAGTGAACTGGCCCTCTAGCCGGGCTCCATCGTCCTGCTGGCCTCATCCGGTGAAGTGGCCCTCTTGCCTGGCTGAATCGCCCTTCATCGTTCCATCGAAGACCTCCCAGGCGTTGCCCCTTTTAAGATAAGAGGGGGGGGCCCTCTGCGAAGGCGGCGGGCCCCACAGCAGGAGCCGGGCTCCCTCCTGGAGAGGGCCCTCGCCGAGGGGCCCTCGGCATCGGCCAGGGGTGGCCCCGGCGACGTGCGGCGGCGGGGTGCCTGCCGCATCTCTGGCTGGGCACCCCCGCGCCGCTACGAGATCGGGCTTCGGGCGGGCTGCTTCCTCCAGTCTCGCCGCTGCTTGGCGGCGCGCCGCAGAGTGTGGGGCCGCCCCGTCGGAGAGCGGGGGTTGCCTGAAGGCAAAAAGTAGTCGGGGGACGTTTTGTTGTTGTTGTTGAACATTATTTATTCTAAAGAATAATTATTGTTGGGCCCCCTGGTGCGCGCCCCCCCTGCGCCGCCTAGGCCGCAGCTACATTTTCATCATTTTCGTGAGGAAGCCTCAGAAAAGAGGGTGTGTACAGGATCCGGTTGTTTTGTTGTAATCCGCTTTCCCTTGCAAAAAACAATAGAAAATGACATTTCTTGTTCTAATATAATCAA